AATTTGCTGCTACGCGTGTGCAGAATTCGATCGCCCGCCCATCGGTGGCAATATGGGTGGTTTTCACGAAATATTATTGAACGTAGGCGGATTCGTAGGTCGTCCTTTCCCTACACGCTCTCTCATTCCACAACTCGAACTTTCACTACGGATGGTGCCGATATTTTGAGATCCGCGACCATTCAGTCAACTCTTGGCTGTCAGCCACTGTGGCCACCACTAAAAACAATTCCTTATTTACTTACTATCAATAATACTATATTACTCAATTTTTTAACTTATTGTTATTTATCACTGTTTGTTTTTCGTCCCCATCAGTCACACTTATTGTCATTCACACTGTAATCGTTTGCATCGTATTTCCTTATAATCTAAAATTACGTGGTGCTCAATAGTTCATTATCTGACTTACAATTGTTCACACTTGTGTCGAGGAAGCCACTCCATCATATCGACGTCGCCTACTGCAAGTCTTCGCTGCAATTGTACTCTGCTTCCTCGGGAAAGTGTTTGTGCGCATGCTCGACTGCTCCATGTGATTTTTCGACGCACCGTGACCACATCGGCAACGACAAAGGCTACGATCTTGCTTGTTCCTCTGACTCAAACGCCAATAATTGTGTTCGAATTTTTTAGCGCTTTCCCCTTATTTTTTTCACTGTATAATATTTTAATCTCAACCTTGTCGCCCAATTTTATTTTTCTTTCGCATTTAACTTATCATCGTCGTCCACCAATACCACCTACTTGACAACTATTTGTTGTCATATCATTGTGATATTATCGTCACTACCGCAACTACCTCCCAAACCAACAAAAACGCGTCTCTCACCAAGTCTCCAAATATTTCTATATACTTACGATATAATATCTTTATAGTCGTAAATAAAACCGTCAAGCTGATTTTACTCGTGATCGTCGTCATTTCTTGTGTTATGGTTTCTACTATGGGAATTTACAGGAATAATAGACGAAATCGTAACTTCAACTATTCGCGACCTTGCAATTGTTGCATCAGACACCAGCGACGAAATCCACGTTAATGTTGTCGTATCATAATACGGGATCATGACCACCATAATCACGCTCACAGTAAGCATATTATGTACATCTACTAACCACTGATTGGTGGAGCACTCGCGCCATCGGTGTAACACAGATGTACCACCAAATAAACACTTGTTAACGTTAACGGTACCATGATGTAACGGCACAAAAGAAGCTGTGCCAGCAGGGACCGGTGGTGATTATAATCCTCGTACACCTGATGCACATGTGGCAACAAGGAAAGTTATCTGACAATAGTCAAAACTATAGAATTTGCCTAGATATATTCATTCTTAAACGAAAACTTTCTCGTCATTTTTTACGCCAACTGTTATGCCCACATCAACTTAAAGACTCCATACTGCCGTAGATGTCCCTTTATCTGAAATAATCATCAAAACAAAGGTCAGTAAAATTATTTTCAATTTTTATTTAATCAGATACCTATAAATAATATCTAAATCCACAGTAAAAACGTAAAGAATAAGATAACATTTAAATACTTATTTAATGTGTAAATAATTCAAAAATGTATGTACCTATCACAAAAAATATTTAAAAAATAATATTTTCTAAATATTCTTAGTAAAAAAAATACCTAACTAATAAAAACCTAAAAATTACTGACTTGCAAACATTTACGTTATTTTGCTATAAAAGTTTGAATTGAAAATAAAATTTTTTATCGATTTCAATTATCATATATTATATTATGATATTTTTTAAACGAAAGATAAATAAAAAAATTCTTTCATATTTTTTCTTAAAGTTCGGTAGCTGGCCGGTAGCGTGTTTATAAAGGCAGGAGGAAGGTAACACATCTCGACTTCCCTTATTTTAAAATCTTGGTGGTTAAAATGTTTTTATAATAGGTACAAAGAATATTATTGCAATACTTACAATAAAATACAATATATGATTCGTAATTTAGTGAAGTTATTTTAGTTTTAATTTTTTCAAATTATTTCTTGTACCTGGCTGAAAGCCCATATGAGACAAATACCTAAACTACAAAATATCCCTAAAAAAGAAAATCTTATGGATTGATCGTTGATGCTTTAAGGGGTAGAGGGTTAAAAGTAAACAATTTCCGGTTATTTTCTTAAAAAAATATTTACGCAACAATTATTGACAAAATCTAATTCAAAAAGTTCAGTTTAAAGTCGCATGCATTTTTGTGACCATTTGAAACATTCCAATATTCCATTATTACTCAAAATATCTTAATAATATTCGTATTGACTTGAAACTATATGCCATTACGTATAATATTACTAGCTGACCATAGCCGGCGTTGCCCGGGAAAAAAATTGTGATTGTTCAACTTTTTTTGGGTATAACTCGCATTGGAAGCAATGTCTTTTTAGGTGTAAATGATATTTTATTAGATTTGTTTGTGATTATGTGAGCAGTATATTAGTATAGTAAGTTCTTCTTTGAATTCAACTTTCAAAGTTAAAAAAAATAAATAATTATAAATTATAAATATATGCCAACTAAAGTGTACAAACAAATAATAAAAATAAAGAAAAGTACTTATTGAATAAAAAAATGAAACCTAGTAATAAAATAAATTCCCAAAAAAAACTTGTCTCGAAAATTTTCTTAAAAATTGTGATATCACAATAAAAACACTTCGTTGTAGGTACTCCGTGTAGAAAACTGCTAAGTTAAAAAAAAAAACAGTAGTTTTGTATAAGCGCTACAAAGATGTAATATCATAAATAAATGCTAAGTGAATTAAATTAAAGTACCGGCACTTATTTTGTTTCAATAATTTATTAACTTGGTGAGAAATTATATACTTTATATGACACGGCACACGAAATAATGTGAACAAAAGTTATAAGACAATCTTTTATTGTATTTTATAACAAAAGTGTTTATAGAGTTCATTATAATTTAAAATATAATAAAGGACATTTCTACTCAAAATGATTTCTCGCAAACAAAAAAAAAACAATATAAGTGCACTTTAATTTAATTTACTTAGCGTTTATTTATGATGTCACATCTTTATAGGGCTTAAAGATCTGTTTATTTTTTCGTTTTCCTCAGTCGTATTTTACACGGAGTACCTACAACGAAGTGTTTTTGTTGTGATAAAAATATCGGCACTAAACAAACTGGTTTTCAAATAGGTACTTGTTTGCAATTTTTTTTTTAATCTACCTATTTATTGTACGATCTATAAAAGAATATTTTTACAATAAGCAAAAATAATGTTGTGAACTTATAAAAAATATTTATTTATTAATGAAATAATGTCAATTTAATTTACAACATTTTAGAAGGCGCTTGTATGAAGTGTCCATCCATTGGTGGAACTTGTGTTTGAACATAAATCATAATATTAATAGTTATAGGTATTATACATGGCTTGTAATATATATTGTACTCTAGGTATTTTTTTCAAACTGGGTATTTTTTTAGAAATATTTTGATCTTAAATTTCGTTTACTTAAATTTTTTTTTTAAATTGTATACAAGAAAAAATCCTACATAAAATATATTTTATTATTAATTCACTTACGCCTTGCACTTATATAAATAAATAAACCAGTGAACTATTTCACATAAAAAATGTCATAATTGCCTGTAAAATATAATATAAATATTTGGTAGCAATATTTTTGGAGATCAAACCATCTACATATATTTATCTATATTTATTTATCCTAATAAAAATTGAAGCAAAATTACAAACATTTATGAGTAAGTAGGTCATTTTTAAATATAATATTTATAAATATAGTAATAACATATTTTATTAATAGGAACATAAAATGTTGTTATTGTAATCTACTATGTATGTGTATAACTAACTTTTATTTAAGTGGCCTCATAAATGCGCGTTTTCTTTGTCAAAAACTACTGTTATAATTCCAAGGATAAGTGTCGATAATTAACACGATTTTCAATCTGAAAAAAGAATTCGGATTCTCAGGAGTACGTAGGTATCAATCGAGCTACGTTTTTTATTTTTCTAATTTAGATTGCAATACATTTATAAATTATTTTAAGCGTTCTCTTAGAGGCAGTAAATAAAAACCAATATTGAATGTAAAAAAAACTATAATAAAGTATAGGTATACTTTAAAATTTTAATTCTAAAAATGTTTCAATTCATAAACAAGTTTTCATTGGTTGAAGCGCTTTTTAAATGTTACTATATTTTTTTTAAAAAAATGTATAAATGTATTAATTTCCAATAATTATATAACAATTTCCAATGTTAAATTATAAATTCAAACATTTTTATATTTTTAAATCGTACTACTAGGAGTACCTATGGTACGTTATTGCCAGGTGTTTAGATCGTTTTAATAAAAATGTTTATTTCAAGAGCCTCTAAAGGCTTGAATATAAAAATATTAAACTACTACAGGTTTTTCGCATTTCAATATTTTGGTAATTTAATAATTTATAACAAAAAAATAAAAATTATGTTGTTAGGTGTGACGCATGAAGTGAATAATTACATGCTGGTGTTACTACCGACTACCCTGCTCTCTTACTGCGGCGACGACACTTTCTCCGTCACCACTAGTTCCTGTGACACTGGGTGTCCTTCGCTTGATTTGACCATTTCACCTTCGCCATTACAACGAGGGATGCAAGGTGACCACTGTGCCTAAAACATTTTGTATCGATATCAGAATTAGTCAACGACTGTAACAGATGCTGTAATTCAATTAAATATTGCTATTATTATAATGGCGGCAATTTACTGCTATCGCCAGTTACAGTATACATACTAATATCGAATAATCACTTTCCTACCATCGCAACAACTACTGCCACTTAACCAACAAACTGCCTATCAATACTACTTACTTTAATAGTACTACCATCATTGATCCAATATAGTCTAACCATAGCACATTCTATCCTCGTATTTGGATATCGATTCCGTATGAAAGTCCAACAGCAAAGACGAAAATACTGGGATTATGAATCCCCTTGGGACCGAGGTTCCCGGTCGTCGTAGCCTTTTAAATGGATTGGTGACAGCTGCCACAAGATCTTTGCGAAATGGTTTTCAGTCTAACGGGCACAATTCTAGTTCTTTGGTATTTCCAACTATTTCTACGTCAGTTAATAATAGTTCAACTTGTCGCACCCCTACCACAGATAACGCTAACATAACTGAGGAACAAAGAAGGTGGCAACAGCGGCAAGAAGAACACCGGCTCAACCTCCTCTGGTACGGCGGAGATGAAATGCAGCATTCGCAACAGTCACCAGCTGTTCTTTTTGAATTACACAACCGTTATCAGTCACCAGATGACTGGGAAAAACAACCGCTACGACAACGGCGACGTAAGTCTCAACAATCGCAACATCAAGGGATTAATAAAAAACGATCAGCGTTACCAACATCACCGATTGTATGGGCCGTCCTGTTACATACCATATATTCAGCTGCTATGGCCGCAGTATATTATATATATGGCGTGACATCTGGTAGCGGATGGATATGGTTAAAAGAAGTCGACAGCAGCAGTCTATTTAAATGGTTATGCCAGCTACCACCGATGTGGTATTTTGTTGGACAAGCTTTTTGTGCAGTCACCATTGGTTATGTTTGGTATCAGTGGCAAAAACGGGAAAAGTGGTGTTGCTACATGTTAATTGCACTATTTATCACCGCAATTTTTCCGTCTGTACCACTAGCCGAAGTCTTCGGAAATAAATTCGTGAATAAAATGACAGAAGTTCCCGCGGAAAACTCTGCTGAAAGACGGAACTATTATAATTCAGAAAGTTTTTATGAAAATCAATTAGCACTTTACGAAGGCTTATGGCACGTGTCATTTTTTATATTCGTATCATACTGCCTGGTGTTGCCAATAAGTGTAGGACAATCAGATAACGAGTACAGCGAAACTATTAATGGACATAATGATATCCAAAAAAATATTGAAGATAATTTCAAAGAAGACCGCCACATTTCAACCGCCGTTTTGCTGTTTGCTATCGTAGCTTCTATCGGACACACAACCTTTAATATGTACATCGCATATCTTCAACACAAACGTCTGGTCAACCATCCGTCCATGGCGGCTATTCAACAGGTTCGTATAACTTAAAGAATATTCTTTCTAATTTATATTGCGTTGATGTGATTTACTTTTTTTTTTTTTTTAAATAGCTAATAGCTAACGTAGTAGTTCTCGCATGCGTCAACCTGGCTGGATGGTTACTGCGTCAGTCGATAATCCAGGACCGTATAGAAATTAGAAGTCACGAAGGCAACAGCATATTTGATGGGAAACACAAATATCTTCGAGCAGCATTGCGCCGGCAAGCTGACAAGCTGGTGAGTACATGGAAATACCATTGATATTAAAGTACAGTTATGCCCAATTCTATTACTATAACTAGATAGTTTAAACATTTTACGATTTTACTTGACTTAAAAACAATTTATAATGTTATAAAGCAAGAATCCATTTGTTAAAAGTGTCGAAACAAAGGCATTATTAATTCAAAAACTTCTCACGAAGAAATATTTACATCATTATACATATTATTTGATTTAAATTTGGTATATTATTATTTTAAATAGAAATGACTTCTTACAGTTTTCCTCAGTTCTGTTCTTACAGTTATTCAACTATTCTACAAGGGAAGGAAAACAAATAATTATATTGATATTGTATAATGTATTTTTGCTCATCAAAATTGTGTGATATATCTCCTACTAAAAACTAATTAATTTTGGTATACCTCAAAACATTACAAAATAACGCCAGCTTGATGATATTTAATGATAATATTGATGATTAATTATTAGGATAATATTATTAGGTAGTCGATTTTTGAATAACTGTTTCATTTTATAAATATAAAAAAAAAATCGGGTAAGTGGTTAATGCTCTGCTGTACATTAAATGTCTAGATAGAGTCACTGTAATGGATGTGTTAAATTTGAATTCATATTAGTATAAAATCATTGTCCCTATACGCAAAACGATTCTGAGCCGCGAAGGTCAATCAATCTAAAGGCATTAGTACAACATTAGGTTAAATACATTTTTTCCAAAAAAATTACTTTTAAAAATGTAATTGTGCGTATAAAATATAATAATATACTCTAAAAACTTCATATACCTACGAATAATATTTATAAATTACAAAAAAATAACTTAAAATGTATATAAGTACGTAATGTGTTTATATATTTTTAGATTGGTTGGTTACAGTATGAATTTATTATGAGAATCCTCGTTTTAAATTTTCAATCATTAGCTATAAAAATTAAACATTTTATAATTTTTTAGGGTTCAAAATGTTTTGAACATTTTCAAGATTTTGAAAAAATTTGTCAAAATTTGAACTTTGAATACTTATAAAAAAAGCATGCCGATGATCTTTAATATTTCTCAACTGCTATTATAACTACCTATGATGCACCTTGTATTAAGTTTTCAAGCTTTTTGACCCAATAAATAAAATTTTATTGACATTTTATTGACGATTCTGAGTGAAAGCGGTCAGGCAGCCTATGATATTACTAAGTATATTTGATGATGTAATTGTGAATAAAGTAATTTATGTATAACCTATTTACGTGGAACCTTGTTTTAAATTTTCAATCCTTCGATATAAAATTTGAACATTTTATACATTTTTAACAAAAAAATAATCATTAAATTTTAAATTTGATACATTTCGTCAACATTTGAACTTAAAATGCTTATTTTTCAACTACTTTAGTAACAATATATCAGGAGCCTTGTTTTACATAATACATTTTCAAGTTTTTTACCCAACAAATAAATGTTATATTGACATTTATAAAAAAAAAATTTTAAAAATGAAAATGTCCGTAAATTGTTCAAAACAGGTAAAAATATTTTATGATGTATAGAAATTGCTAATATAAACATTCAGGGAAAATTACATGTATCTACGGTAATTTGTTTCTTAAAAACAAACTTTACCAAATAAATATGACAATATTATCCGTGTTGGCACGTTGAATATAATAGATAAGTCAACTCTTTAAGTTTATATGATGCATAACAAATACAAAAAACTAAATAAAACATTTAGTGTCTAATAATAGTGTCTATTAACTGTCAATAAAAATAATTGTATTATAGCTATCGAAAAAAACTAACTTAAAAACACGAGTGTTGTTGTCATCTTTATGTTTGCAAAATGTTATAATTGTACGACTATTGTAACCCAAATAAGAGCTATTCTACCAAAACATGTATTTGAACGGAAAATACGAGTGTTTCGCGCTGTTAAACCAAAAACAAAAATCATTTTTGTCGAAAATTCCCGTTTTTCCAAAATTTTTTTTTTTGCTTTGCCGGCGCTTTAAAACTACTGGAATTTTAAATTTAAAATTTTTGACATCCACTATACATCAACTAGATTCAGTTTCCCATCGACTGATGTTAAAAATTGAATCATTATTTTGACTACCTACTTATCGTGTACACAGACACAAAATATATAAATAATCAAGGTAAATAAAAATAAAAAACACACATCATTGTAAAATCAATACATGTATTGCTCCGCTCAGAATCTAAAATATGAATTAAAAACATACAATATTTTACAAATGTGTTGAAAACAATTTACTTGATTTGTGGAAAAAGTTACAATCAACAAGAAATTATTATTTAAAAAAAATTGGTTAAGAACCAATTAAAAATCATTCGTTTTTATTTTTAAAATTTATATTTTTATGAATTTGTATGTATATATAAATTAATACTCCATGTAAAATTGTTGGAAAACAAACTTGTTACAACATCTAAATAATCTTTAAGTTTACTATTGAGTATAATATAATGCTGTAAATGCAAATGATAACAATAAAAATCGTCCCGTTGAAGTCTGGTGCATTTTTGGTAAAATCTATTTTTGATGCTATTCCTAGTCATTTAATATTTTATTAAAATCATATTATGATTTATTTTATGAACAGAATCAACTCCTAACATCCTTGCTACCCAGGCGCGTGTTTTTGGAAATGAAACACGACATAGTTGCCGATGCAGCACGTTACTTTAACGTAATTCGCAGTTCTAATGACAATAGCCACCGAGACGATGTGCAACTACATAGGCATCAGGAGGAAATATTGTTAAAAATAGATAATATGCCGAAAATGTATTTAAAAGAATACGAAAATGTAAGTGTTGTGTTTGCTAATGTCACCGGATTTTGGGATAATGCGCCACTAGTTGTGAGCCATGATAATTCTGGCCCCCAAACTTCCATGCAGCTCATTACACTTATTGATCGATTGCTGGCGAATCTATTTCGTAAACTGGCATATCGCAATCGTTGCCTCCCAATACGTCTGCTTGGCCACCGTATGTATTTCATTGCTGGGTTGCCGGATGAAGAAAGCTATGGATATGACGATGATGGACACAAGAACGGTACTTGGATGATGAATGACAATGGACACGCAAGAAATGCTATCCAAATGGGATTGGATTTAATCGATGCTGTTAAGTAAGTACACAACTAATCGAATACGATCCTTATTTCACCTACTGCCCCGCTGATGCTACTAATAAGATTGCATTATCTTTAGTCTTTCTGATATATTTTTTCTTACTTTTAGGTAAGTATTAACTTTTCTAGAAGAAAAAGTTAAGTACCTAAATAAATTAATTTCCATATAAAATGTTAACATTTACTCAATTGTTAAAATCTACATACTTCGTATAATTATCACTTATAGCAAATTCAATGACTATGTGTGAATAGTAAATGGACATTAGTGTGTGCGTTATCGAGAATTCCGCTCCAGGAACCTTCGCCAGATGCAACTCTCACGCGCACTCATATTTAAATACTTCGCGAAAAATGAAATATAAATATGAATTATAAGCTTCTAGAGTATGCTCTGTAGGAATCACTTTTTTGATTTAAAGTCAGATGTGCTCGAAATAAATACAAATGTAAGGCAATTATTTCATGGGAATTTTAAAAATCTTAATTTTAAGGTAATTTAAAATTGAAAATCGACTTCCTATAAAGCCTAGATATTTTGTTAATGAGTTCATATATGTATAAAAAATAAAAATCGGATATTCCAAAGTATGTTTAATTTACCATCACTTATTGGTCTAAAACATAAGAGAAGTATATATAAAAATATATATATATTTGCTGCGATCCCCATTTGCATTATTATTTGATAAATGACCTTGTGTAGGTCTATCGATTTCAATCTAGTTATCAATACTTAATATTCAATCAGCTACAGTTATTATATACCCGCACATAAAACTAACCGTGTAGGTGTAAATTCTGCTAGTATATAATATTGTTATAAAATAATGTTTTATTTAATCATTATATTTTAATTTAATTTAATAGTACCGTAGTTCGTGATGTAAGCCGGTTCCACAACAGACACAAAATCAATCTTAATGTTCGTGTGGGCGTTCATTCAGGCCGAGTAGCGTGTGGTGTGCTAGGTTTCACTGGAGGTACAGGCATCCCATCTGACTCGGGTAGCCGTTGGCAATATAGTGCTTGGGGCCGTGACGTTCACGTAGCGTCATACATTGAGAACTGTGGTCGTTCAGGAATGGTGCATGTAAGTCGTGCCACGGTCAATCAGGTTACTAAGAAAGGAGTTGCTGATACTGCAGTTAATAGAGTAAATCATCTGCCACCGGGAGTGAAACTCCGTAACAATACAATCAACAATCAAACCGATTCCAAAGACAACTTAGATGACTACTCATTTGAACGTAGTCGTGAAGAAGAAAGGAACCAGTTTCTCCGCCACAACCGAATCGATACATATTTTGTAATTCCCAAAACAGTAGTAAGCTATACTTGTCACCGCTTAAGTTTTTGTAACAAACTAGATTGTTAATGATTTTATTTATTTTTTCAGTATCCTCATTCAGAAAGTACTGAAGAGTTGACAGATAACTTTACAATGTATGAGAACGGTAGCAGAGATATTGTTTCGCTGATTCTCCAATCAGTAGATCAGCAACTACTAAGAGAGGAAATGAGACAAAAATATGCTGTCGCTGGGTTAAGGCCTGAAACAGAGATGGAGTCAGAACAATTGCCAGCTATTTCAACAACAGCAATTGCGGACATACCTGTGACAATGGCTGCTTTGGTTCCTGTAGTTCCTATAGCCTCAGTAATGAAAAGGAACCGGCATAGACGGAGTAGATATTTTGATCAAGAGTCACAACAGGCAGCTTCTACAAATATCAATACCAATTGCGCTATCACATCATCAATGGTATGTAATATTTAGAATTTAATGAAGAGTAATGGTGGGTTAGTAAGTACACTTATGTGTTGGTTGCAGTATCGTAGGCCCGAAATATCAAAGTGGAAATTGTATATTCGCCTGTCTTACTTTATTTTACTGTAGTATTCAGTATTGTATATTGTATATTTAATTAGTTCAAAAGTAAATAATTCTCAGTAGTTTTCAAAAGCACCGGGAAAAAACAAAAAAAATCAAACAAAATCAATTTTGGTTTTTAGTGTAACTCTAAAACAAATGACCGTAGATACATTTTCACTGAATGTTTATATTAGCATTTTATGTACACGATAAAATTTTAAAAATAAATAATATAAGTAATTTTATCACTTCACTGGTGGCAAAGCGACGAAAATAATATGGGAGCTTAAGAATTCAATATTCTTAAAATATATATGATAGAATGAACCAACTTATTATATTGTAAAAATCCGGTATTACTCTAGCCCTAGCAAATATTTTATATCTCCCCCCCCCCAATAAAAAAAAAATCCTGGCTATAGCACTGGTTGATTGTGTACTACAAATACATCAGGCAACATCTTACCTCATGTTAGAAGTACGCATTGTGTATTTTATTTTTTTATAATTACAAACACATGAATATTATATTTTTAGGAGCGTTATGGCCGGTGGGAAAACGATGTATTTGTAGTTTGTAACAACGATGATCACGAGAAGGTAAGAAGTAAATCCGATGACGATGATCTCTTTCGGATAGCCAAGTCACAGTTACTACTTCTGTGTGTAATTATTACCCTGTTTGTGGTTAACGTAACAACTATGCCCTGGACTATGTTACTCGGCATTACATTTATTACACCGTTTGTTATAACTGCCGTGAGTTAAATTTAAATTAAACAATATTAGTTACTGTACTTGTATTTTGAATGTCTAATCAATATAATTTGTATACGGATAGGGAGAACTAATCTATGTGATGGCCTTGTTGATCGACTGGATTCCTCGTCCCAGGTTCTACAGCACTACTTACGCCACCGCCATTATTGCTGATGATGACGAATATTATCATCACTATGATAACAATGATAGTGATACTAGTAGCAGCAGTAATGGAGATGATAAAAAATGCTTAAGACGCTTTTTTGCCTGTCATCCCGGTAGATATTCATTGTTCGCCTGGCTATTGAAATCATTTCAATGTAGAACAAATACCGCGATGACCACTCGTAACCATTTAGACAATGGTGACGGTTGGAGAAAATGTTATTTTAAATGGTGTCGTTGTTACGGCCGCCATAGCTGGTTCACCTGTTGTTTAAATAATCAAAGAGCATCGTCTTGCATGTCGTCTGACGACAGTGACATTGAGAGCAGACTCGGATTTCGAAACGAAAATGCCATAATGGCAGCAACAACAAGAACGTCTCCTCCACGGCAGCAAATCCGTATACAACACTCACAACCAATTAACATGAATAACAGCTACAACAATAATCTACTACGTCGGCGACACAGACATCTAAAACGGATATATCAAGAAGAAGAGAGACGTACCTACTTTTATTGGACATGTGCCTGCTGTGAATTAATCGTTGTATTGCTCATTTGTCTTTTGGCTTTGTTAAACGCTGTGAGTGTTATTGCGATTACCACTTAATATTTATTTATTATATTTTTACATAACATTTTTTCTGTGTATACTTTAAGTATTATAATTACACTGCACTCAATCGTGTCCAATTCCAATTGGAGTTTTAATGATTTTTAGATTTTCAGCATAGCGATGAATGTATATTGTCTTTACAATGATGTCCTTTTTTTTTAATATGTCTGTTATCAATATTTGTGGTGGTAAAAATTTTCGGATGGAGATATGAATCTAGATACATACAATACATACCCACAATTATTTTTTACATGCATTTTAAGTTCAAATTTGTAGGAAATTCATAAGTTTGAAAATTAATTGTTATTAAGAAATTATCAAAAAAATCATAGTTTACATTAAAAATTTTAATAGAAGATTCCCCACAAAGTGTTCTACCTTTAACAAAAAAAAAGTTTTTTGGAAAGTTACACTATTCATTTCTATAAGACTTTTTCGATTTTTTTAATTATTAAATTTGATTATAATATGCACAAGTATAGTAGGATGGCACACTGCATCCACTCAGAATCGTTTTTCATGTGCAATGATTTATCATTCAATTAAAATCTAATACATCCATTAAAATGACTTACTTGACAACTACTGTACAGCAAAGAGCGGAACCCACTAGTCCACCTTTTTTATTTTATACTTATTTTCATATGTATTTTTAGTTTACGTGCGAACCAGTTGATATAACTGCAACAAACACCATATACGATCAACTTCATACTCACAACACTATTATGAATGGTAGTGGTGGATTCAACACTCCTACAGTTAATACAACACAACTACATCGAAATCCATTGACGTGTATGTGGCCTCAGTATGCCGTTCTCACGTGCTGCTTAGTGTACGTTTCAATAGCTATTGCGTTTCCCATTTATTATGGTTCACTGCCAACACTGCGGATGAAAATCGGAATATTGCTCGTCATGACTTGCGTATTTGCCGTGGCTTTTGTTCACTTTACGCACAAGCACGTGTTTATTGCTGCCTCAATGTCTTCTCCAACACCTTTGGTCTATAGCAAGTCTGATGAGTTCCAAAATCATCGAACAAACAACACTTTCACTATAAATTACAATGACCATCGTGAAATAATCAACGCTCCAGTCCATAGTGATGGCTACCGAGAAAACCAACGATTGTAAGCATTATCATTTTAATAATATTACTATTTTTACAACCGTCTACCCTTGTGCAATTGTTTTCTGTTTTGAACGGTCCAATTAGTTTTGTCATTCACCTATCATTAAAAATATTGTAATGCCCCTCCACTATTATCTAATAATAAACTTTTTGGAATTGTTAAGTAATCAAAGTGTATTAGTTCATCGACACTCTTATGATTGCACATGATAATATATTGTAAATATTCTGTAATGCTGGTGTATTGTTATTGACGGTATTAATTTATTACTTCTGCTCATATAGATTAAAACTACAAGATCAAGAACAGCAGCAAGCAGCTGGCTTAAACACTGCCACGGCTACGGTTTACGCGATTTCATTCGCCATAGCCACGCTTGCCTGCTTCGTGTACAAACATCGCTTACAAGATCGACGAGCACATCACAGGGTTAAGGTTAGTACCTAGTATTAACAAACGTGTTTGAACATCATGGACTTGCCAGTTATATTTGTTTTTAATTAATGAAAAGTTTGTTGACATTTGCTTTTTTTTTATAGGTGGATCGTGACTTGAGACGGTTGCGTGTGTTGCGCGAAGCCCACAGGCGCACTTTGCATGCCATCGTACCGGACCACGTGGCAACTTTATTGCGACGAAGCTGCAGTAATGATGCTAATGATGCTGACGATGAATGTGAAAGAACTCAGCACCAACAAAACTATGGTTTTGGAGAAACTAGACCGATACGAACCACTGTAAGTATTCTCAAACCTTAAATATACATTATTCCTCGTTTAATTCAGTAGATACTTGAACACTTAAAATGCTTCTTGTGTAAAATTGTATTTCTTATGGTTTAGCATCAAAGTCAAGAACACATGCCTGCATACTTGGCACCACCGCTCTATCAATGTGGGTACCGATCCATAGTTATCATGTTTGCGACGATTGTACAACAAGAACAATCATTGCCGACCAACATTAACCGTGGTGAAAAAAACGATGCCATCAGTCATCACTGTCATAAACAGCTAGCACTACTTCACAACATATTCAGCGAATTTGATAGAGTAATTTTTATGAGCTGAAAACAATTTTTAAGTTATGACTTATTTTTTTTTTTTTTTTTGTTAACAGCTTCTTGATAATCAAAAGTACCGAGGATTAATAGAAAAAATAAAAATGTTGGGAACTAACACATACATGGCAGCTGTTGGTCTACAACATAATGATGGACCAAAGCGTCGACAAGTCATGCTGCTGAAAGATATGAAAGAGAGATGCGATGAATCTTGCAACTTTGACGGACAAGAAACAAAAAATTACATTGAAAATTACCATGTCAGAGATGATGTTGACAATGATCTAGAAAATGAATATGAATTATATAATATCATATCAGCAAATTATATAACATTTGCTTTAGATTTCATTCGGGAAATGCGTCGTGCACTGCATCGTCAGCAAACGGAGATGGTGACTCCTGTTGGTAGCTCAAATAACTCGCAGCCAACACAATTTGTTCTTCGAGTTGGTTAGTTTATTATAATACCAAAATTATTCATAACCAAAATATATAAATATTTAAATAAAAATAATATAGAAACCAGGGAGGTATTATATAATTAACAAATATAGTAGGTTAGATTATTATTTTAACTACATGACGATAATAATTAGATATATTATATTAAACATTATAATGCATGTTCTATAACGTCATTAATACAGAAGTTAATATCTTTAAATGACGTAAAAATACTATATATTTATAATATATATATTATATAGGTACACAAATGCCCCACAAAAATTATATTAGAATTTTTTTTTTTTTTTTAATATTAAAATTGGAGAAATTAGTTTGGGAATATTAGATTTGGGAAAACTGTACTACTATCTATTATTTCGTTGTTTTTAAAGCGCTTTTTAATTTTACTCGTTTTACAGCATCCGAAATATAAATTAAATTAACTTACAGTGTTGATGTTTATTTGTAATATAAAATATTAATTAAGTTATGAAACGTTCCATTTATGTTATAGGAGTAAACGTTGGACCTGCTGTAGCTGGATTAATCGGCTGCAATGATAGAATCTGGAAACGTCCGCAGTTTGACGTATGGGGTAACACTGTAAACGAGGCTAGACAGATGGACATCACTAGTATACCAGGTAGAACGCAAGTTACTAGTTGCGTTGTCGACATAATGCAATTGGTGCATTATCCAAATCCAAAGTATGAGTTCGAAACCCAAACCAAGATGATAAACAAAGACAAAAGGATACCTACGTATTTTGTTCGTGAAAGTTTTGAAAGAGATGATGAACACAACTCAGTTCAACGAAAACCTTCTAACTACCATATTCCACAGCTGCGCCAAAATTCTCCCTATCAATATGAGTCAGACCGACCACATCAGCAGAACAAACAACAAACCCCCATTCGACCGTCACAGAACGTCCTCCGCACGACACCTCTGCACTTGGCACGTGACCAGCCACCACTCAATGTAGTACCGCTTGTCAACATCCACTCGAAGCACTCCCACTACAATTCTATGATACAACAGGATTCGCGACAAAAATGTTTGGAACCACAAAAAACAACACCACCGCCACCACCACCACCACGAAGTCCACCACCAGTTACAACACGGCGGACCCAATATCCGATGCAACACCAATTTAGTGAAGAACGCGATCGATATCCAGATATCCAGAATAGATCACGAGGTAAAAGCTGAGTATGATCTTTCCACATAAGTTGTGGACCTAAAGTGTGAAAAATCTATTTTATGAACCTATTAATTTTGCCTTAAAGTATTGAACACCTTCAAAAGTGTTTCTATTGCACACTAATCAAATTTTAAGAATTTAATGTATTAACATTTACCTACAAGTAGTTAACTGTTCTAGTAAGACACATTTACTCGTAGGATAGGTTAATAAATAATAAGTAAAAGTTGATGCCTGACCCAAACTCTATCACCAATGGTCCCTTGATGAAAAAAAATGATTCAATGAACTTATGTGAAGGATGGAGGTCTATGAAATTCATCGAGAATTAAATGTGTATTATAAGATTGAGGTGCAATCAACTAAACCAACAATGTACTTTAAATTATCTAAGTACCATTCTTGTGTGGATCAATGCACATGTTGTAGGTTTGAGGGGAAATGTGACAATGTCAAGATTATATCTTAAAGGGTATACCAGCTTGTGTATCATGTAATAATAATTTTAAAAATTTTAATTTTGTTTGAAGTCTATTTTAGATTTTAATACTTTTGAAAAAATTAAATGCATAAAATGTTTTCATAACAAATCATTATAATATATTTCATAATATAATTATAGTATCTAAATAAGATGTTTTCAACATCATTTTCATGATAATGCCCTAACTTAAATTCAAATAAATTATGAAACACTTAAATCATCAATAATTATTTTTGGTAAATTACGGTACTACGTAACACACCGGTTGAGAGGTATTACACCCAAAATAGACTTTTATGCTGGAAGTAGAAAAATTATATTTTGTTACAAAAATGTGAGATGTGAAATAGAATGTATATTTTATGTGTATGAATATATACTTATTTTTATTTTATTTTTTTGCTTTTCAACAACAAGCAGGTGCCCCCCAATCACGATGTGTATCCAACTCGACTGCAACAACAGCAGCCACATACGCTCGCCCACTTCAAAAACAACAGCACCCATCTACTTTGGCGCCAGTGCCCCATGGTCTCGTTCGAATTTTTGGTGATTCACAACATCTGTCGCCGCCAAACACCCCAACTACTACCGAAGCCAAACCAACCTCTTCTAACCATTCTACCGGAGGAACAATTCTTAACACCACTTTGCATGATCATCAACAGCCCCAACCAGTACGTCGACCAAACGTATTGCTTCTGAAAAATACAACATCTGTATCAACAAATAAGTTTGACGCCAATCGTCCTCTACCGGATCCACCACGCTCCTCCGACACTGTAGCTGGTCGACATCGAAACCGTGATGATCCACGGCGGCGAAGGCGTCGTCAGCACAATCCACCACCCACAATGACCAAACAACAGCAGGAAGCCAAACAGGATATTAAGAACGACCATTGTCTGGGTGTGGTCTCCCCGGCCTGGCCGTCGTCGTCTTCGTTCCGTTCACCGATCAGTGTCGGAAGTTTTGTCAGCGTGTCATCTCCGCCATCATCATTGTCATCATCCAGCTCCACAGATGCCGGTGGCACTACAACATCAAATAACAATTACAACACCACCACGGCTTCGTCATCGGACGACAGTTATGGTTGTACGACTACAGAAGACTGTGCTGGCATTGATCGAGTGGATACTGAAAATTTAGGCACTGCCGCTTCTTCTGTGGCTATGTCATCAGTTCACCATCGTTATCGACAACAGCAACAATTACTGCTTCATCAGTGGTCTCCGTCAACGACAGCTAATTCATCTCCCGTTAGACGATCGGCGTCTTTCCGCTCACCGTTGTCTGCTGGTGACAATACCGCTGCATCGTCATCATCATTGCGATCTCCACCTATCGTTGGCCATACTACCACTACCAACTTTGGAGGAACACAATCGTTAAACCGCCGCCATGTACGCTCTGCTAACACCACCACGGGTGCTGGTAGCAGCTCTAGTCGCCGTCGTCGACGCCGACAGCAGCAACAAAACAACACAGCAATAGCTGGAAATTCTACACCCCCAGCTGGTGTTATACCAGATGTTGTAGGCATTATGAACACTACCTCAAATGTGTCAACTGAAAAGTATGAGTCATCGTCATCATCGCCATGGAAAAAACAACAGCAGCGACGACAAGTTACAAGTAAAGATCAAGGAACAGGTGGTGGAGTGGTGGGCCCAGATTTTACAGATGAAATAAGGCGTATATTGTTATTGGACCAACACCGTGGAAACGTTCGTCAACAGCAGGGAGGACCATTCAAAGAAGAAGAAATGCAAGTCAACAAACACAGCACTGACGACAAAGAGTGAGTATCTATTTAAAATTTCAGAAATAAATAGTAATGACTGATGAATTACTAATTTTGTATAATATTTATTTTCACACCATATATCCACTGGATTAGGTTAATATTCTTTGTGTTAGAGTGAAATAGTGATAAAAAATTTATTTAAAGAGGATTATATTGACTGTCATCACATGAGTACCTCTACAATCATTAGTGGCATTGGTTGTCTGTGTGAATACCCTTTCAATATCTTTTGTGTTTTTATTCCCTGTTTTATTTAATACATTAGTACAAATATATTATTTATTTTTGATAGCAGAGTCAATGATAATGTTGCTAAACACTTGCCTTCGTCAGAACAACAGCATCTTTGTATTGCAACAGTTGGTACGATGGATCGGAAACACGATAAAGATGACAAAAATAATCAACAAGTCGAGAAAGATATTATAAACATAGCAGCAATATCAGTCCCAACTACTGTAGCTTCGACGACAAGTATTTCATCAGCATCATTGTTTGAGGAGCGTGAAAGACAAATAACGGAACAAGTAAAGCGGCAGGTCAGAAACACTATATTAATTATTGTAAGCTTATAGTTTGTGTGATTAAAATTTGTATCATAATATTTCAGCAAGCCGAAGTGAGACGGATACTACAGGAGCATAAGAACAACGTGGTAGCTGTTGTCAGAGGGCCGGCCACAGTCATGGCTGATGCTATTTCACACAGCCGTAAACGAGTTATGCCGTTGGCGGTAGAGTCATCATGGAGTGACGATGAATCGTTAGAACCATCATCATCATTACTGGATAACAAACATCGGCCACAACGAGTCGGTTTCACGGTAGGTTTGAGTGACTATGAAGCTAACAGCAGCATCGTGACTGCTGAAACAGAATACACTACTGGCGGGGAGGGTGATGATTATACAACCGACGGTGACGGATATACTACCACTGGATACACAACAGACGAGGCTGCTGCTCCTGCTGGCCGAGAGACAGATATGCCATATGCTGCTACAATAAGTCAACCTGATGCATCTATAGCACGACAACTCGATGACAACCTATCAACTTTGAACGACACTGGGCTAACTGACGCTGAAGGTTTGAAATTTTTCTGTGACAACTTAATTACCATATTTAGTATTTTCATTTATACACGTTGTAAAACTATTATTATTATTATTACTATACAATATTTTTTTAGATTCTGAGCGGATCAAATGAATGTATTGGTTTTACAATGTGTTTATTTTTTTTTTGTCTGTCAGCAACATTTTGAATAGTAAGAGTGCTTCGATTTATGAGATCAGCATCTTTTCTGAAAATTAAAAAGTAAATCTAGTTGGTACTTTTGGAAGTCAAAATTGAAAATTCCAAGTAGTTTTAGAAAGCGTCAAGAATAACCGCTAAAAATGGGATTTTAATTTCTAACACTTTGTTTATCACCTAGCAATGAATAAAAAATAATAATATTATAAGGACTAAACCGCTCAGAATCGTGTTTCGTATACAATGGTTTAACATTGTATTCAAATATAACACATTCATTAAGACTCCTGTACAGCAGCGCGGTATCCACTTGTCCACCTTTTTTTAATTTGATGTGTTTAATATTTAGCTGCGTTAAGTGACGTCAATTCAATGATCGACTACAACGATTGCAATGATAACAACCGTTACAGAGGTCGTCGCCAGAGTAGCTTAAGCAGTAACAGTGTGTGCCCATATGCCAGCGATAGTTTTTGTGAAGATGATGACGATTACAACGATGATGGTCAATATTTTTTCTGGGATGGTTACCACGTGCAGAATGAAAATGTTGAATTAGGTGATGATGACGATGACCATGACAGTCGTTACAACCATAATCGGATTTTGCTACAACAACAGCTGTCTCTTACACATCCTTCATCATCATCACCACCACGGGCTGATGGCTGTAGTGGTATTGATAAGAAAAGGTTTGTATAAAAAAAATATGCATTTAACTTAATAACTTTTAATTTGTTTACTTATCGATCTCCATATAAACAGATCATACTACCAACAGCAGCTTCAACAATCAACAACAATGCAGACCGGTGACTCCGATACTACAATAAATATCACTCCGAGACCAATCGCGCCTGATGCTACTACAGCTATCACTACTACAAGATCGGCAACTACCATTAACCCTTCTTCCATAGCTAGTAACACCAGTATTAATGCATCTCCTAATTATTGTAGCACAGCTACTAATACACTTAGTTCAAACACTGAACTAGATGGGCCACTATCGCCATCTAATATTATAAAAGATATGTCATAATGAAAATAACTATACATTTCTGAATACTATCCTGGTACATTTCAGTATAGTAAAAAATTTGCGATATTTTAACGTACAGTAATTAATTGGGATATGAATACCAATGATGATAACCCTTTAATATGCTCAAAATTACTCATAGCCCATTATCAATATATTTCAATAAACTAAAATTTAGGAACCATCAAATATTCAAACACATGTGATTATTGTTACCATTGGTATATTTCAATATATACCTTTGCAATATTTAAAATTCATTAATTATTTAAATATATATACCCTATATCAATGGTATTAACTAGGGCTGGAATAACAATGCACTTTGCTAACATGCTCATTTTGGTACAAATATGATTCATTTGTTGTTGTTAAATGGATTTTTATTTATTTATTTGTTTATTTATTTATTTATTATTGAAAACCCCAGGATAAATGTTCCGAGTTCACAGTTTCAAATTATTCATTTCAATATTCTTAGAATTTTTGGTATTTAAGGCCATTTTTTAATTTTTAATAAGAACATTTCAATGATTATATCACATTTTATATGTATGTTCAAATTTAAAAAATTTAATTGGATTTTATAATTCTTATAATATTATAAATTATAATTTACTATAAACCCAAATAATTAAAATATGATCTGATAATTAAAATATGATCTTTCATTTAAAACCTCATATAAATTATAAAATTAATGAAAGCTAAGCAACCTATTATCTAATCACTAAAAACAAAAAATCCAAATTCTGCATCATCAAATTATAAATGAAACTGTATACATATTTCTATGTATAATGAATGTTAAATCTTAAAAATTTTATTACCCTATTATTTTTGTTGTAATTTTAGTTTTAGTGCATTATTTTACATTTTTAGGGCATTAATACATTTTTGTAGGGCATGTCATTAGTCTTTTGGTGCATCAAATTTCCAACTCTAGTAATAACAATTAAATGTGCTGAAATACATTAAAGGATATTATCACCATTGGTATATTTCAATTTTATAAAACCTTTTGCTACATTTAACACAGATTAGTTAATTGGATTATGGATATCAATAATGATAACATCTTTTTAATACGCTCAAAATAACTCATATGACCAAAATGTTTTTGATATATTTCTATATACCCTTAAATATTTATACCATATAATATATTTCAGATAACTATCACCATTGGTTAATTTCAATTTAACAAAAACCATTTTAATATATAACATTTATAATTAATTGAATACCAATGTCGATAAAATTTGAATGTGCTCGAAATTGTTCATAAGACCAAATTACTATCAAAACATTTCAATCTACCTCACTATGTCCACACCATAAAATAAATTTAAGATTATTATCATTCATCACCATTTGAGCCTAATAAAAAGCTTTGCGATATTGAACATTAACTAATTAATTATTACTTATGTGAGTTGAATGATCTATAATTGTCCATGCAACCAAAATACTATCGATGCAATTGAATCTACTTATAACCATCAATATACATTTCACAATGACATCACTGTTGGTACATTTCAATCTACTAAAAACCTTTGCGATGTTTAACAATAATTGAAATCTGTATACCAATAGAGATGACACTTGAATGTTCTGAAAATAATTTATTATAGAAACAATAATTTATTATTATAAATTTTTATTATATGTTTAAAATCTAAGGTAACGATCGAATTTTGTTTGTTATAAGTAACCCCCACAATCTGGTGGGGGTTTATTATTAAGCTTTAATAGTAATTTAAATTTTAACGTAACATAGTTGGATTAAAAAAAAAATTAAAAATGTATATTTTGCGTTTATTATTTACATCATAATAGTAAAATATTATCCTTTAGGTGTCTTACGGCTTACAAACAGTATACATTTAACATCCATTAATATTTTATGACAATTAACAGTCGTGCACATTTTTTAACACTTATTGCCGACTACGCTTCTTCTCCGCCGTCTGAAAGGATTCCATAACCATGTGATTTTTTTATTAGTACTCTCGGTTCCTTCGCTTCCACCATTTGTGTTCTGTCGTCGTTGACGACGTTGTTTAGAGTTGGTCTGTGACAACATGGGTGGTAGTGGTGGAGCAGAATGTAAATTTGAATTTAAGACCGCCATATTTGTACTCCTCCGTTTATAAATCTATATGTGATAATATAGACAAGTTATAAACAAAATATATAAATGCGCGAGGACAGTAATCACTGAATTACAAGGTGAACTGTAATAACTAAGAATTATTTAAATTGAAAAGGCTAGATTTTTCCATTTGAAAACGTGTTTAAGTATATTTTATTAAACTTAAGTTTTAAAAACGATAACTGCCAAGTTTTTATATAGTATGCAATTCACAATTAGCATACATTTTGCCTGAAATTAGGTATTGGGTTTAAATTTGTATCAGTGCTTGAGACGCTTAGGCTATGAGACTTACAGAAAGGATACTATAACTATACAACAACCTAGAGTAATTTTCTTGGGAAACTTCTTTTTCAGATACAACATTTCTTTCTATTATTATAACTATCTATTAAAGAAATTCATGAATGTACATGTTTTATTACATTGCTGAAATCAGTTACATCCAAAGCTTTCCTAAATACAAAAGAGATTCAAGCACACATTCAGAGTAATTCATTACTTGTGTAACTTAATAGCATATTTGAAAAATATTGTAAAAATCAGAGAAACACTAAAAAAAAAAAATTATGCTTATGTATTTTCAATATTTTTTAATGTCTTTAAAAACAAACTATGAGGAACCTTGTAGGTAGTAAGTATATTTCAAGTTTTTTTAACTAAATAAAAAAAGTATCAATATTTATGGAAAAAAAAACTAAAAAATTAAACATTTCAAAATATAAAAAATAAAATAATAGTTTATAATTCGGCTAAATATTTGTATTGTGTATAGAAAATAATAATTCAAGTTTCGTGTTTCTACATTTAATATTTATTTTATTAAACTATAGCAAAAATTGTTTGAGGAAAAATCTTTATTATATACTATATATTTTAAATTCAAACGAATATTTAAGAGCTTATAAACACTGTATTTTCACTATTTTTTTACTGTTGAAACCAGTGGCGTGGGGGAATCCCCCTGGGACAGAGCGCATAGTGAAATTGCAGGTTCAATTAAACAGTTTCATATATATCTACACTATTTACAGATTTTCACCATGATTATTTTAGCCAGTTGATTAAAATCATTTTGAGGAATCAACAAGGAAATGTTAGATTGTCAGGACTTGCTTTGATGACTTTGATGTGTTCAATTCACAGTAAGACAATATTAAAATATATATGTATATATGAAATTGTCAATATTTTTTAAAAAAGAATTAAAATTTTAATTTTACATAATAAATATAAAATTAAATTGCGCAATTTTTATTTGTATTTTTAACCACCCAGCTCCCTACTGTATAGTATGTTAGTCACGCTAAGCTGACTATTGATAAATTGGACCATAGTGAAAATATTTTGTATATACGCCACTGGTTTAAATAGCTTATGAGGAGTCTATAATCTATAATTTTGATTTATAAAAATTTTTATAAACATAAGTAGACCTAATTAAAAAAATATAAATAAACATTTGGTGACAATGTCAAGTACCTACTTGAATTGCAACAAAATAACAAAGACAATTTTTTCGAAACTGATAATATGTGTAAACATTCTGCTACCGTTTTTTTGTAATTTTTATAGATTTCCTGGTTATTGTAAAAATACTTGATATTTTTTACTTTTCCCGAAGTTCCGGATAGATCGTATTTGCTGCTATAAACCACGTTTAAAGATCTAATCATTTTTACCGCTCCAAAAGGATATGACATACTCAACAATGATAAAACTAAATAAAAATACAAGTACCAAGGTAGGTACTTACATCTTTGTAAAACTAATTGTACCTACCCAATGTCCTAATACATTCATCGCCTAGCTCAGAATCCAAAATAAAATAGATTATTAAAGCCAATTAATGCGTTATTATGTCAGGATATTAAAATTCTAAGATTTCCTATCAACGACTATCAACTAGGTAGGTAGTTTACTACTTTTGAGACAAAAAAGTCTTTACAAGGTAGACGAATATTACTGGCCGACGCGCACGCACTTCTCACACATAATGAATGTGTAAGTAGGTACCTTGTTTGGATCAACGTAGCCGTCAGACGCCGCCGAGGCAGTGATCGGCGTAACGACTTTTAACTGAATGACAGCTCCTTCCCCGGAACTTGGTTTCCGACGCCTCTGATGATGGTGAACGATAAACTCGGCCACCCTGCGGCACGTCTCCCACCTGACGTCTATCGCCCTGCCGCCTCCGCCATCGCCAGCACATAGCTTCAACGCCACCACTATGTCACCACGTCTCAGGCCCACGTGCTTTATCGATAACACAATAATTAATATGAATATTAATAAAATAATAATATCATCGTGTCAAGTATTTATAACGATCAATGGTTATATCAATTAATATCTATATTTAAAAAAAGGTGGTAGGTAAGTGGAAGTCGCTCTGCTGAACAGTAGGTTATAAGTCTGTTGGTGACACAAGATGGTCACTTCGTTGCCATCATACCATGTTATTTTATCGTGCATTTTACTTTTTATGTATGTATGTATAGGTAGTGTATGGGTTATAGTAGATAACCGCGGTTATGAGTTTTACTACTTTACATAATTTGTGCTACGCATAATATAATAATATGGTCGTCAATTCTATGGGTGTCTATTATCGTGACAAGATAGCAAAAAATAAAGACATAATTATATACTTGTGCCTGAGAACTGGACCTAACGTGTCCTACGGTAGCCGGCGGGACAGCCGCAGCTGTGCCACCGCCGTGGCTGCGCAACTCGAACCCGAACCACCGGTCCACGAGCTGAATCGGATCCGTGGATGCAACAGATTTGTCGTCGTCACATACGTCTTCGTCGCCACCGCCGGGGGAACGATGACGGCCACCACCACGGGTGATTTTCACCCACCGGGGCCTCGAACACTGGTGACGCGCCGAAAACACAGCCACAGGCCCTAGCCCGGCGAACAGATCAGCTCTGCGTTCCTCGCGATCGGCTGCCTCGTGCTGTCGTTCTTCCCTCTTCTGTCGGTGTCGATCATCACCACCGGCACGTTGTTTGGTCACCACCGAGCCGCCGGCCAAGTCGTATTCGTCACCGCAGTCCACGTCGCCATCGTTGTAGTTGCCTCCGTCACCGGTGTCCGTGAAGTCGGGCGCAATCGACATCAATCGAAATCTGGTCCGTGCTATAAACATTTAAACACAAATCAAAGCATAGTTGTTACTATACGGATTGATAATATTATCCACATCGTTGAAGTATAACACTGATGATAATTGATAGTGCGTTACTCCGGATAATTATTTTCATGGTTTTTTTTTTAATTTTAGATTCGGAATGGAACGATGAATGTATTGATTTTACAATGATGTGTGTTTTTTTTTAAATTTTTTTTTATTTTTGTGTCTGTGTACTGTGTACACGATAAGTAGTCGAAATAATGCTTTGATTTTCAACTTCAGTATCTTGTTTGATTGGAAAGTGAATCTAGTTGGTGCATTCGGGGGGTCAAAGTTTAAAATTCCTAATAGTTTTCACAAGCGCCAGGATTAAACACATAAAAATTAGGGAATAACGGGAATTTTTACGCACAATCTGTTTTCCAAAAAATGGATTTTGGTTTTTGGTTTAACTCTAAAACAAATGAACGTATATACATGAAATTTCACTGGTTGTTTATATTTGCATTTTCTATACACGATAAAATTTTTAAAATATTATGATTTGTTTTGAACTGTTTAGGGACATTTTCATTTTCCATTTTTTTTTAGTTTTTATTCTAAAAATATCAATAAAATGTTATTTGTTGGTTTCGAAACTTGAAAATTTAATAGAAGGCTCCTAGTATATTATTTCAGAGGCAGATGAAAAATATTAAAAATCCTTAGTCACAATTTTTTTTTAAAAGCATTTAAAGTTCAAAAATTTACAAAATATGGAAAAATCACGAAAATTAGCAAATTATTTTGAGTTAAGTATTCGTAAAAAATTTTCTTTTTAAATCTAAGATTTGAAAATGTAATAAAAGATTACTCATAAGTTTGTCTACCTTTATCAATAAAAAAATCTCTACCAGAAAGTCAAATTAAATTTTTATGAGCGTTTGAAATTCAAATTTTTACAACATTGGATATTCACTCGATTTCTCATGTAGCGATTTGCTTATTTTGTTGTAATTCAAAAACGAATAACTGTAGATATATGAAAATTTCACTGAATGTTCATATTAACATTTCCTATACACTATACAATTTTGAAAATATTTTGACTCTTTTTGAGCGGTTTACGGACATTTTCAATTTTCAATTTTTTTAGTTTTTTTTTTCTTTAAATATCAATAAAGTTTTATTTGTTGGACCACAAAGTGTAAAAACTTAATACAAGGCTCCTGATATATTGTTACAATATCAGTTGAAAAATATTAAAAATACAGAGGCACAATTTTATTTTATAAGCATTTAAAGATCAAATTTTGACCAAATTTATCAAAATCTCGAAAATTATCAATCATTATAATTAATAAATTATAAAATGTTCAGTTTTTATAACTAAGGATTGCAAATTTAAAACAAAGGTTCTCATAAATAGTTCATACTGTAACCAAAAAATCTAAAAAATATATGAACACAGCTATTTTTTACAGACATTTTAAATTCAAATTTGGACGAAATTACATAATAAAAAAAATAGAATAACTATTTTAGATATTTTGTTGTGATTGTATAATATTATATTATTCGTGGGTACTTGAAACTTCTAAAGTATACTACTATATCTATGATAGTATCAGGGTTGGTTGTTGGTGTTTAACGCGTTATAAGTACCTAATGGATATTGTCATTGGCGCAACTAGGGGGGGACTTGGACTTAGGGGGGCTTAGCCCCCCCCCAACATTTGTTATAGCCCCCCCCCCAAATTGTTTTGATTATTTAAAATGTAATAATAATTTAAGCATGGGATAGTGAGATACATACTAAATAATATGAGTATATGACGCAGAGAATTATTCAAAAGTAAATTGTATAAATATAAAATAATATTATTATAGTTTTTTTTGTAATTCCTACAATCCTACATAATTAATAATAATATTGTTATCTAATAAATGTGACGGACGACGGTGGAATATTGTGGTGGTACAAAAAACCACATACTGTTGGAGATATCCATGAATGGTACATTATTAATAAATAATAAATTATATGCAAATAGTTTTTAGTCATTAAAAATAGTAGTTGAAATTAAAAGGCTTTTTATTTTATTAGGATCTAAGAGAAAAAGAACACAGCAAAATAAACTAAGTAATTATATAACAGAAGTAAATACTGGTGAAAGTGAAGAGCATAGCTCAAATGATATTATGACATGCTATCGTGTCAAGTATTTTATTATTTTGGACACTGTAATAATGAATCTTAAAATGAGATTTTCAAAAGAAAGTATGGAGTTGGCTAAAAGTGTAGATGGCTTTTAATGTTTGACTAATCAAAAAGCCTTACATTTATAAACCATTATAAAGTAAGTAAATTAATTGTTTTTAAATTAAACATTAATGAAAAAATAATGTTAATGCTACTTTATTTTTGTATAGAATTTATTTAATATCGATTTGGAAAGTTTGAAGGCAGAAATGATGGTAGCACAAAATCTTAAAAAACAATCTACCGATAATAAAATTATGACACATGCAGAAATGGCTGAAATTGTATCACCTAACACTTTTCCAAACTTGTATAAATTGTTGAACGTAGCTTATACAATTCCTATTAGTAGTGCCACTATTGTGAAAGAGCATTCTCTGCTATGCGGCGGGTAAAAAATTGGCTACGTTCAACAATGTTACAAGACCGTTTTTCAAATTTATCTTTACTAAGCATTGAAAGAGACTTAACTAATAACATAGACAGCGATACTGTCTTAGAACATTTTATAGCTAATAATAAAAATAGACGGATAGATCTTAATATGTAAATTACAAATTAAGATTATCGATTAGGTATGTCATATTTTATGTAAAACACTACATAGAAGTAAGTACATGATTTTTAATAATATAGTATGATAAAAATATTTTATGATTGTTTTTATTTCAATTAATAATTATTGTTTTGTGGCTGCGGCAATGGGGGGTATGGGGGGCAAAGCCCCCCATGACTCACATCGACAAAATTTATTTGTAGGGCTTCAGCCCCCCCCCCAATATTTTAGACCTAGTTGCGCCAATGGATATTGTGATATGATTAATTTGGAATTCATTATAGGTCAATTTTTTTTAATACCATAGATAAGTATATAATTTGTCTTATACCTAGAACGACATAATATACCGTCTCCGCTCAGAATCTTTTTTCTTATACAATGATACAACATCATTGAATTCAAATGTAATACCATCCATTTTACAGTGACTCACTTGTAACCTACTGTACAGCAGAGCGACACCCACTTGCCCACCTTTTTTAAATTTATATTTATTTATTAATTTTTAATCAATGATATAATATCATAGTATAAGAAAAACGATTCTGAGCGAAAAAAGTCAGTCAGCCTATACTAAGTAGGTACCTATATTTGATGATATTACTGCGTATAAAGTAATTTATATTAAATAACCTATTTACGTGGAACCTTATTTTAAATTTTCAATCCTTAGCTTATTAACTACAAAAACTTTTTTAAATTTTAAATTTGATAAAATTCGAACTTTAAATGCTTATAAAAGAAAATTGTGCCTATGTACTTGCAACTGCTAATATAACAATATAGAAGGAGCCTTGTATTCAATTTAAAAGCTTTTTGACCCAACAATAAATACAATTTTATTGACATGTATAGAAAGAAAAACTAAAAAATGTAAAATAGAAAATTAGAAAATGTTACCAAACAATACAAAACGAATCAAAATATTTTGAACATTTTATCAAGTATGGAAATGGATAACAAAACATATAAATTTCAATTATTTATAGTTTTTCGTTTTTAAATTACAACAAAACATGATAATCGCTAATTGAGAAATCAAGTAAATATCCAATGTTGTAAAAATGTTAACTTCCAATGCTCATAAAAATTTAATTTCACTTTCAAAACAGCTCAAAACAAGTCAAAATATTTTTAAAATTTAACAATAAAATGCTAATATTCACATTCGGTGAAAATTTCATGCATCTACGGTAATTTTTTCTAGAGTTAAACCATAAATGAAAATCGATTTTGTCAAAAACCTATTTTGAGTAAAAATTCCCGGTTTTTAAATTTTTTTTTAAAGCGCTTTTGATAACAACCTACTGAGAATTTTAAATGTTGACTTCCTCAATGCACCAACTAGATTCACTTTCCTATAGAACAAGATACTAAGTTGAAAATCTAAGTATTATTTCGACTACTTGTCGTGTACACTACACAAAAACAACACAAAATACCATTGTAAAATAAATAAAATTAATCGCTCCACTCAGAATCTAAAATTAATTTCTAAAAAAAAAATATTTGCAACCTAGGCGTATACGCGACACTTTTTTGTTATTCATCAATCTTTTAAATGTATGCATAGTTCGTACATTTTTTACTAAAACGTTCTAAATATGAACACTTAAGGTTTTCAAGCTGCTTCACGAAAACACATAAATTTAATAGTATTAACTTAATTAACAGTAGGTACTTTTTAAAATTATTGCAAACATAGACGAAAATGTTTGGCAGCCAAACACTATATCGATCTAAGGTTAGGGCTGTACAGTGGTGGCACAAACTCACAAAGGTAGTTCAGTGAGTCTGAAGATTAGTATTTTTTTTTAATAGATGAGTGGATTATGAGCGATGCGTGGATGTTAGATAGGAAGTGGGTATAGTTATGTATATATATTGGTACTTGAGGTAGATTCTGTATTGGCTTAAGGTTAAATGATTTAATAAAAGGCGTTAAATTAGCTTGGTTTATTCAATAATAACAATATAATATATATATGCAAAAGAGGCGTTTTTATATCAATAAATGGGTGGCCAAAAAAAAAGGTTGGTTGTGTTGAGGCTCACGCATAATGCCATCTTTAACTTTATATACTATTAAAACGTGAGCAGATTTCTTTGGACTTATATCTGAAGTTCTATTAGACCGATTTTCATAATTTTTTTTTTTTTAACACGATTACTCAGTGTGCATATTAGCTATCTGACGAGGAAAGTCTGAAAATGTATCAATTTAATAGTTTTCAGAAATATTTAGTTTTTCGTGTAGCTGTGCGCACACACACATCAAGACAACCCCCGCTACGTCTACTGCAGTAAGTAAGTACGTATTACTGCCTGGCGTAAACATGACAAAGCATTATAATATTAAATAAAACATACAATTTGTCATGGGCGTATTCATTTACATTGTGCATGCACACAAATACACACTCCTATGTCTACTGCTGCGTAGTGCGTTATCGTCGTCGTCGGCATTTGCCATTTTCTAATAAAAACACTATTTCTGATTTCGTAATTTCATATTGAGGAAAATACAAACTAATAAGTGAAATATTTGCAGTTTTCCGTATGAAAATGTTTTTCGTATATCCATAAATGTTATTAAAACTTAAGAAATTTAATTACTTTTTATTTTAAGTTGTTCCTAAACATTAATGGCACATTATTATAACGATTTATACATTTTTTATATTTATTTATTTATTAAATTATTCAACAATATTGAATTTTTACTGTAGCCCGGTAGTGACAGGTAATTCAGCTAGTAATAATATAAAGTATACAGGTGGTACTTACGTCTGATTAACACACCACGGTCGACGTCCAGGCCAGGTACACCAGCAATCCCGGCAGCAGTAAGCTCCTCTCGGTCGCCCGAACAATAATCCGCTACCGCGGCAGCATCGACACCCTCGTCGTCAGAGCAACAGTCGTGGCAATCCCAGCAACGGCCAGTATTCTTCTCGGCGCGGCCATCTCTGCGATCGCTGTCACCTCCACCGCCTCCACCTTCGGCCGTAGCGTATTCGTCTTCTTCTTCGTCACGGAGGTGTGATAACAACAACCTTACTGTCCGCTGGCGTTCTCGGTCCAACACGCCGGCCAGCAAACCCCCTCCACCTCCGCTGCCCGATGTATTCCCGTCGGATTTAACCCGGAGCTGCCTACACAGGCGCAGTGCACGGTCCGCTCGGTCGTGGGCCGCTGCCGCCGCCTCAAGCAACAGCTTACCTGCAACGAGGTTATACGGCTTAATAACTCCGATAACAGTGAATTCATGGACTTTTGAGGTCACGTGCTCACATTCATATTTTGTTACAAAATAAAAGTAAAACAAAAAACAAAATTTTTTCTAATGCGATGTTTTATAAAATATATTATGCATGTTTATAATTTCTTTCAATCATCATCATTGAATATTTTTCGCCATGTCACCGTAAAAAACGCAGAAAAATTCAAACATCGCACTATCTACTTATGAAGGAATAAAATACATTTTTAGAAATTCTCGCTTTGTTGTAAGACCAATATCTATGCAAATTCAAAGTTCAAGGGGCTAAAACCCTGAAGTATCAACTTATTAAAATATAAGTAATACTAGCTATAGGATGAATTATAGTAACTTATACATCCCGATTAGTATTGACCCACTGCAGGCTATAAATATAATTTTCGGGAGGCTAGAGAAGACGTTTAGAAATCATAACCTTTAGAGCTTCTGTCACCGCATGCACCTCTCAGTCACGCCTCTCGTTAACTCTTTATACATTAGACATTAAGAACATTTAGGGTTGAATCCATACCGAGTTGCTTGCGACGCCGCCGTTGCAGCACCGCCACTGAGCTCGTCTCGTCATTGTCGTCGTCGTCATCGGCCACCCCAAGGCCCGCGGCCGCCGCAGCCGCCGTCAGCTCCGTCAGCAGTTGACTGGCGTCCGAGTCGACGGTGCCACGACGGCGGGTACCACCCATATGGTGGTGCTTGTCCGGCTGTCCGTCCGTGCCGCATCGACGGTACGGGAGCAGGGCGCACGCGGCGTAACGGTACGCCAGCGCCGCGTAGTGCCGGTCTTTGATCCGGCACACGGCCACCCAGACGTCTGGCAAAATGGACACCGGTGTCGCCGCTACACCATGCTCGCCACCGTTTTCCTTACCACGATTGGCGGCTCTTTCGTTGGACTGGCGGCTGCAGGTATTGTACACCACGTCACCGTACATTCGCGACACCTTCGTAACGAAAACGAAATATTATTCAACTGCAGCCACATATACGTAGTTATAATATTATATATAGGTATAATAGTCACAGGTATAGTCAAGTTACACGAATATAGTTGTAACTGGTTATAATTTATAAGGTACTTTGAACATTTTTTACTGATTACAAGTTACAGTTACAGTAACTTAGGTACAATTTAATTTACAAGTTACTTCATTAATATTAAGTGTAAGTACCTATTTCTTAAAAAAAAAAATAGCGACTGCTAAATATATATTTGTTTGTATGAGGAGTTCATATGAAAAATTAATTAGTTAAATTATAAGTAACTAAAAGGTTACCTTATCAACACTCAAATTTACTAAAATATTGGCTTTAAAATATTAAAATAATGTAGGTACCTAATAAGTTATTATTATATTACAAATAATTAATTTAAATCGTAATTTATAGAATAAACTATAAAATAGACAAACATTAAATGACAAACTAAATTAATATTGTTATATATTAACACGAAATATGGATAAGGATATATACTGACAAGCAAGTATACTTATGGGTACAGCACCAATTATACTTTAAATCCGATAAATTTTAAAATAAATAATACATTTACCGTTAATTACACAAAAACCTACATATCTTAGCAATTTTATTATTTTATTTCTAATATTAGTGAAAACTTAAAATCAAGAAAAATAAGTATACCTATATACCTAGTCAGCGTGGGCGTATCTAGAGTGTGCTACTGTGGTCTGTGATAGACGGTGATTTTGGTTTGAAAATAAATCAACTTTCATATTGATGTAAATAAATATTTTAATTTTTAAAAATGTCTTCTAAATTTATATTGAATATTGATAACACCCGATTATTAATTATATATCCTATTCAAATGCAATTTTAGATAGGTAGGTCGTAGGTCGTAGCCCGTAGGTATATACATGTATCTTTTATTTTAAATCACAAACAATTTTTAACCAGTTACATTTTTAAATTATTTGAAAATGACGCGAATTAATTGATTAGGTATTTCCCAACCCAACCCTGAGTATATAGGCATCCGTATTAGTAGTGTAATACTTCAACAGTTTAACTTAACGTACAAATAATACTTTATAGATATTCTACCATCTTAATACTCGATTATAATGACAATTAAAAATTAATAATTAATAAAATAATCATGTTATTATAGTTACATATTACACCTACGTATACTGTATAGTTTATAAACCTCCTACCTGTACCTAATATTACTAATAAGTATTATACAATATGCTTTCGTTGTACCAAATAAATTTATTAAATACATTTCATTGATTTAAATCAATATTGGCTATTACGTATTGATATTGTTATGAATTCCACACAATATAGGCAAGTACTTAAATAGCATAATACAAAATTAATTTAGATATAGTTCTATCTAAAAATCTATGCTCCGGTACCCCCAATGAACTAAAATTCCCAAAGAATACGAAACTAGTTAACTACCAACACAAATGTATACCTAATTGTATTATATATTTATCATTGTATTATCTATATTAGGTATGTTCATTGCTAAGTTATATTTTTAGGTAGGTATATTTTGTGCATTGTTTTATATCAATTTTAATATTGTAAAATAATTCCTCAATAATTGTAATTAAGCTAAGATTAAAGTAGCCAATGGCCCAAATCTCCGAGGCAGTTTATAAAATAAAAAATTATAGAATTTAAAAAACAGAATTATACTAATTTAATATTAGGTACTAATCGATAAATTACAGTTAGTAAATTTTGACGAATGACGATTTTGATGTCTCGATTGGAATGTAATACAAAAACTGATTGGTCTCGCCAAATTCCTTTAATTATATGTCAACGGATACCACAGTCTCACCGTCGTTCGACACGCACCATTTCTGATGTTTGTTAAAATATCACGTATAAAAAATTATTATTATTATTATTCAGGGGTTCATAACAATATACCAAAGCTACAATACGTACCAATATATTACTATCATTGAGACATTATGTACATAATATATGACAGACTGTCACCATTATAGTGGTTTTTATTTAATTATTAATTATTATACTCAAGGGGCCTGCACGTGACCTGTTGTTTTGCACAATCACATGACTTACAGGAAAAACTCTCACGACTCGTAATTATTATCCAATTTTGATAATTTTCATTTTTTTTGAGGAAGAGAAAAGATTAAGTAGTGCATATTACCATAAGTGAGCATTGAACTTCTAGTTTTTAAATTCTATTTCCAAGCCATTATATTATATAACGATTTTTAATATTACCAACTTTCATAAGCTTTTGTTTTTATTATTTTTTGTTTTAAAGAATGAATCAAGAATCGAAGTCTAATCCTTTAGATACTTATTATTTTACTAACAAAAAAAAATTAATGAAATCAAGTCACTCTACAAATCATAAAAGTTTCATGTAAAGCATGTTTTGAGCAAAAATCTAATCTTATTATTTTTGGTTGAAGGTGCCTTAACATGCCTTAACATGTGTGAATAAATGAGCCCGTATAGCAACCATCAAACTCACATTAATTATCATTTAAGATTATCGACTAACCAAAGGCCAAGGTGGAGACGAATTTGCATATTGCCTAAATATTACTCCTTATAAGATACGAGCGTATAATATACCTACGTATTGTGTATAAATGAGTATAGGTACTCACGTGGGCTGCTTCACGAGCCAACTCTGTCCACGAAGGTGTATTTGCGGTTACCTCACACGTCCCTCCAACGTTACCACCACTGACACCCGATGCCGATGTTCGTCTTGTTGCGGCATCTCGGTCACCACGGCTACGATGGTCACCATTGCCAAGTCCTTCTGCGTCGGCCTCAGCTTCTTTGGCTTGGTCGCCTCGATGACGTTGACGACTACACCGATGCCGAACGGACGTCAAGAAGCGCCATTGTAATTTCTCGAAAGCACATTCATGAGCCTGAGCCTATAGGTTAGCGACGATCACGTCAACAAAATGTATTGTTGCAATAACATAATTTAATGGTCATCATTAGGCCAAAAGTTGTATAACATACATGTCTAACAAATATTCTTGTAGATATATTGACTTTTCTTTAAATATACAAATAGCTCGCATATGTATTATGTAGGTATCAGAATAGAGATGAGTTTTTTTAAATCGTTCAACTTGCGATCAATTGATTTTATATGACTTTGAAGTAAATATGTATTTTAAAAATAAATAAATTTGAAAGTCCCAGTAAGTATTAATTAATATCAATGCTCTTGAACGTATACAACTTTCGGTATTTTTACCATCGACGATCGAAACGTATAAAGCCGCGGTCGTGCCGATGGGTATATAAAATATTATAAACATCACTGACCATCATGACTGCATATAGGACGCCTGTTGCGCGCAGATCGGCGGCCCGGGCGGGCGCGTTGGCGAACGTGTCGCCGATGTGCCGATACGCACCTGCGGCCCGCAGGAAGCATTGCGCAGCGGCCGCGGCCCCATCGGCCGCTTCAGGTCCGGTCGAGGTCGACGATGAGCCGGCCCGCTTTCCCGAGCCAATGCTCATGCAGTAGTCGTCGTCGTCGCCGTCGTCTGCGTCGTCTCTGCAACGGCGGTCGTGCTTGGCGCCCATTTGCGTGTGCACCGCCGCCACGTTAAACAGTACGCACGCTTGCTCGAAGCGGACGGTGCGTTGTCCGCACGACGGCACTGGACCACCAAACGAATCGTACCTTAACGAAAGCAGGGAAGGGATGAGTTTAAACGATAATTGGAAATGTTATGGTTTTTATGTTTGTTTGTGGGATAATATTGTGTTTTGTTTTTACCAGTATACTATATAGTATATTGAATATTGCTTTCAGCGAATCCTGTTTTTAATCTTTTAATTATTTTAAGTTAAGTCAGCGTGACGAGCTATATTCTAATTTTCATCAACGTCGTTATTGCACATTACATAACAATTATGTATATTTGCATCTGCATGGCTGAATGCCTGAATATAATATTATTATACTATTCTATAGTGTTGTAGTGTATATAGTTTCAACTTTGTAATACAAATTAATATATTACGATAAAATACAGAACATTGATACTATTTGATAGCACCCACTGGTATATATTGTCATGTATATTATTATTTATTATCATTTAGATTTTGGTGGTGAGTGATGACTAGGGTCATAGAGACATATTATACATATATTATATGTATAAAGTAAAAATGTATTTTATTAAATTGTACGAAGCAAATAAAATGAACATGTTAAAATATAACAATAATAGTAGCACTACATTTAAAAATTTGTCCGTTTTTAGACGTATAAGAGTTGTTTTTAAGACTGTAAAAATTAACCAAGTATATACCACATGTAAATGGCGAATGTCATCAAATAATAATACTGGTTATTATAGCCATCTATATAGTTTTTTTATATGTCTGTACATTTGTCAATTTATCATAATATTACCATTGAGTATATATTGTATATATATACCTATAAACTCAATTATATTACGTGTATTATATTTTAGAGATAGATTACCACTCGAAATAAATGGCCGGTGGTGGTGACGTCAATGACGAGCCGACGGCGGGCGAATACTGTAGTTGCTGTTGTTGCTTAACGTGACGATAATTGGGGTCCTGCTGCTGGCGATTATGTTGTTGATAATGTCTCGACGTTGTCGTCACCGGTACCGCCAACGAAGCTGGTGGGAAAAACCTGCGATCAACGTAGTACAGCTGCCTGTAATACCTTAGCAAAAGTCGAATGCCGTCCAAGTCTCTGCTAGGCGTCTGTGTATCCTGTAAAATGATGACGATGGGTTCAACTTTGGATATATTCCAAGTTCATTGTGTTCAATAATATACGTATTAATCGTATTATGTATAGGTACTCATAGGTATATGTTATTATAGGCCTTGAGGCTGGAGCTTATCCTCAAAAATATGTTGTATTGCTTACGTAATAATAGTTAAACATTTAGTTGATGTTTTCTATGTCCAAGAACCCACGGTATCGCGAAATTTTCTAGAATAAATGCCCTCTTACAGTCTTACCAATAAATTATGGCATTTTCTATTTAAGAACTATAAATATTTTTCATTATTCTAATAGCGTAATATAATAATATATAATAGGTATTATGATATAATTATAATTACCTGCTGCGAATATCAAATATCTTTGTATATTGGCACGTTATTCTCCCGTGGATATAAACATATTTCTTGTTTTCTAATTTTTGAAGTAAATCGGGTCATTATTTAATATTTATATTATTAACGAAATTACGATACGTATTTTAGGTTTTCACGTCGTACGTTTATTTCCCGTTTAAAAAACTTTAAGCTTTCAATTAAATGAATTCTAGAGTACGATTTCAAATTCAACTTTTTCTTTTCTAATCACACCCCTCGCCCTCCATACCTTGATATAGCAGAATTTAGTAAACACACACTTATATTTATATAACGTACCACCCGGAGCTGAGTCAATTCGTCGATGGCTTCGCGTAACGACAACGAACGCCGCCGCACCGCGACACCACTGCCATCACAGTCGTCTCCATTGTCCCCTACACCACCTTGGCCAGCGTTTGTCTCTTCCGGTGCCGCTGACAAATCCACGCCATAGTGTTGACTGATGAACCTCTGTATAATATATAGAATACCCGCCATAAAAATCGTGTTTAGTTGGGAAAAATTAATACAGTAGGTCGAGTTGTCGAGAAACCGGTATTTTAACTGGTGTGTTATAGGGGGGGTATGTAGGTATACTAATAGGGGAAAAAACGTCATATAGATCCTCGTTTTCTATATTATAACATATAATTAAGTCCTTATATAAGTCATAATTAGTAATAGTAATTTTCATTGTTCAATGGGTTTTTGTCGTCAATTTTATTAAAAAGTATGATCTACTTTGATTCGGATACGCAACTGCGAATGGTTTACACTATTATAATATAGTATAGGAAACATGATGATAAAGTAGTGTACATACACACAACTACACAAGTCAGATAGGCTGTGAAAAAAAATATTACCTCGAGGGGTGGTCCAAAATCTATGGGCCTGGTGTCTTTCAACGGCACGGCAATCATGGGCATTAATCGTTGCCGGTGCAGTCGCCGTCGATTCGCCATTGAACCGTCCGCACTAGCACCTACCACGGCTGGACCATCAAAATCATCTTCGCCGTCATCGTCGTCATCTCGGTGCTGGTAGACGTCAACGGAACCGTTGAGTTCGGCCAGCTCGTCAGCCAGCAATCGGACGTTGGAATCTAGGAAACTCAGCTCCAGTGCCACCGTCTGCCTGATGAGCTTTCTGCTTTTGCTCTTATTCCTGCGGCCGCCGGCACTACCGACGATGCCACTGTTATCGCTACTACCACCATCCTTGGTGGTGGCCCTAAATCATCCATAATATTATTATTTCGAGACACACAGAGTAAATAAGAGTTTATCGTGAAACGTGATTTCTTGAAAAATATTCTAGATCAGTAATTGATTGAATACCATTTGGTTATCTGGTGGTCAATATACCATTAGTTAACCTACATTTTCGTTTTTAATCATTTACCACTTATACCGTATAGTTGAGTTCGATCCTACTCGGACCATGAGTTTACAAAATATAATTATCACGTTTCACCGTGAGCTTTTTAGGAGATAGCTTAACATTCAGGTACATAATATTGTATAGGGTATATACTATATATATATAACCCATAAAGTTAATATGAGAAATTCCGTTCATCACGTTAACTCGTCGTCTCACTATTTCATTACACGAGGCGTTGTGGTGCACGATCATTGGGAAAACTAAATTATTATATATTTTTTACTCACCGCAACAGGTTCTCGGCGCCTTCGCGTAACCGCAGCTCCCGGTCCATCTGCCGGTTCAAAGCAGACCGCGCTCGTTGCAACTTTGCCCTGCAAGTAGCCGCCTTTGGATCTGTGCCCTATATAATATGATCACGAACAATTTAACAACATTAATAAACACGAAACATGTTGGATTAAGTATAGCGCATAGTGTATAATATACGAAGTCGCCTGCACATTCCCACTATTTGTTGGTGGTTCTGATCCGGAAAACATAATACGGGTATAAGTTTCAAAACAAATACAAGTACCTATATCTGTACCCAGTATACCTGTACTTAAAACCATATAGTTTATATTATACTATTATAGTGCATATTGTGGCGACACAGTCTCTAAATCTAACGAATATATAACTACAATGAAAATCATTTCTCGGTTCGCTTTCTATACGGCTGCGAGGTAGGTACGACTTGGGGAGTCACGGCAGTCACCTCTGATGACTGTTGTAGTGTTATATATAATGTTTCGTGGGCAAGCTGTTACCTTTCGATGTTATTCATCTATAAATATATGTACCATGTACGTATTATAGGTGTACAGTCACAGCGCAGTATTCATTAGTAGGTACATTATTACAACTCTCTTTGTCCGCAATCGTCTGTGTCGGCGATAGAAAAACATAGGTAGATAGGTACACTGCCAGTATTATTCGTGTACTACATCCCGCAACAGGTAGGTGGTATACCTACATAGTATATTAGTGTATTATACACTCGTCGCCGCAGCCGCGTTCCGAAACTAATAAACTATTGTGCTGGTAAACGGGTACATTGTAACGGGTTGACAAGCGTTTTATTTAGGTATATCGATGCCGTACAATTTTTATCGCCACTGCAGCTGACGGCGTATACATTGTTATTCCTCAATAGTCAATACGTATTATTATTGTGTACCTACCAACCTACATCACACTCTCTGAGACTCGGAAGTATCATGTCCAATTTACAATAGGCACGGCACCTATAATACCTACTACTAAATACTAATAAATTCAACTCGTACCATACGTAATGTGTATAATATTATTTTTATAATCTCCTTTTTTCTTATAAGTACTATCCAATAGGCAATAAGAGTGATCATAGGTGTTACATATTTATGCAGATACCTTTATCACAACTACACTGTACCTATGTTCTTTTCATTTAAATTAATTATTATTTACACGTTTATATTGTGTGTGCGCGCTCGAGAGGCCGAGTTAGGCATGTACAGATTTCCCGGTATACCCATAATAATAGTAGCTGGTATCTGCAGGTACAATAGTAGTAAATACTAATAATATAGTGGAAGCAGCGATAAACAGCGGTAATAATTTAGGACGGACCCGTTATACGCGCGCAGTTACACGGTCGATGATGGGAGGACCTGCGAGGGGGAATCTTGTGCACGCACACGTACAAGCGCGCGGGCACACACACACAAAAACAAATAAATAGATCTACCGATCGCGGACTTTAGAGGTGAATTTTACGATTTAGGCCTGTATGGCATTCGCATAGTATATCTAAGTGCCTAGGTACCTATATTAAAAAATCTGTCTTATAATTATAATTATTATTATTATTATAAATATCACTGGGCGCTAGGTACCATTTTAAGAACATATTACTCTCAGCATGACGGCCATCTATATATAGGTACTTACCAAGAGTAATACTAATATTAGTACCTAGGTAACCTTTTTTTATAGATGGCTATACATCGTGTAAGTATTATAACATAATATAGGATAAACTACTGACCTTTGCGATAGCCCGGTTGTGAGCCCTCGTCACCGCTGTGGCGGCCATCGTCCGCAGCCGACCGTTATTACTAATTATCGTGCAGATACTACTATGACGTGATGATGTCGATGAATGTCAACTCGCAGTAGAACATAACACTCTATGCGACTATGCACGCATATTCGTATACGGTCGGGATTCGGCCGAACGGCAGTCGACTAGACCGCAGCGAAAACGTCAAGACGACTGTTCGCCGTTCGGTGACTTCGGTCGGCGTGTGCGTGCGCGCGTCCGGCCGATCTCTTCCCCTCACCACAGCCGAGAACAAAACCACCATCGACTGCACCGCGGAAGGGGGAAAGGATATTATTATTATTATTATTAAAAAACCAACGAGGACGCGTCGACGATTGCGTCGTTCAAAATTACGGCTGGTGGGAGCGCGGAGATCCGGCACAACGACTGCTGCGCCGCCACATCCGCCGCGGTTAATATTATAACAGGTATCCGAAGTAACCGTCATCGTCGTCCTATGTATATAGTGTCGGTGTGTATTATTATTATTATTATTATTACTATCATTGTGGCCGTAGTCTACGTAGATGAAAACTCGTTGCGCACCGGACGACCAACGACTACCTGTAGATGAAGCACACCTGTGCTCGTTAACGATTTCTGGTTTTTTTTCTTTCTACAAGTCGTACTATACGGCGCAGCGCATTATGATAATTATATTATGATTATTATTATTATTATATGGTCGGGCACCGGTTCACACACAGACACACATATTTTGTCCGGTATGTACCCCGCTTGCGTGCCCGCCCTATAGACGAGACCCGACGACGACGTTGGCCTACGATTGTAGCCGTACGATTGTGCGGACGATCACCCGACCGGTCGGTGGGATGGCGGCATGTTGCTGAGAAAACGAAAACACGACGTACCGACACTGCCCCGGACCCAACGACCTACCTATATGTACAATATTACACATATTGTACAATAATAATATTATACATCACCCGTGATATAATACACTACAACGGGAACGCAGTTACCGACTTGAGGCTATATATAGGTACCTACGACCGATTGACACTTTGAGGCCACTGCAATTGCCCATACACGTTATGTAATGTAACGTTGAAGAGGTTTAAGATCCATATATTCATAGGTAATAGGTACATGATTCCTGTCCGTCCAAAGCACGTCGAATTGTTTGATTGCAAATCCTAATATATCGCATCTATATATGGATCTAGAACCGTAATGGTTGGAAAACGACTGCTGCAATCGTACCACGCCTACATTATTGAATAATTTCGCTGTACCTATAGGTACCATGTACCTACTTATTTTATAAATATTATAATATACTTTATCTATAGATAACCAGATATGCGTATTACAAAATCTTACTTATTAGGTTGCTTTATTATGATATTATGTATTACAGCAGAAGATATAGTAATAACACTAATAAGTATAGGTATATTATATTTATATATATGCGTATAGGCGTGTGGGGCAAGGCTGTTGATTTTTGTTAACATTTTTTCAAACGTCATAGACGATACTATCCCAACTTGAAATGTTTTTTAATAACTTACGAATCTAAATAATTAATTTTAGATTCTGAGTGAAACGACGAATGTATTAATTTTACAATGAGCTGTTTACGGACATTTTTAGTTTCCAATTTTTTTAGTTTTTTATTTTATAAATATCAATAAAATTTTATCTGTTTTGCCAAAAAGTGTAAAAATGTAATACAAGGCTCCTGATATATTGTTGCAATATCAGTTGAAAAATATTAAAAATACAGAGGCTTAATTTTTTTTTATAAGCATTTAGAGATCGAATTTTGACAAAATTTATCAAATTTAAAATTGAATAATTATTTTATAGTTAATAATTTATAAAATGTTCAACTTTTATATCTAAGGATTGAAAATTTAAAACAAGATTCCACGTAAGTAGTTGATTCTGTTAGGTACCAAAAAAACTAAAAAATACACAAGCACAGTTTATTTGTATAATTGTATAGTCATTTTAAGTTCAAATTTGGACGAAATTACATAATAAAAAACCTAGAATAACTATTTTAGTTATTTTGCTGTGATTGTATAATATTATTCGTGGGTACTTGAAACTTATAAACTACACTATTATATATCTATGATTTAATACCAAAGTTATGTATATAATATGTCTTATACCTAGAGTAACATACCGTCTCCGCTCAGAATCGTTTTCCTTATATTATAATGATATTATATCATTGAATTCAAATTTAATACCATCCATTAATCATTATACAGTGACCCACTCGTAACCTACTGTACAGCAGAGCACCTTTTTCATTTTGTATCATAATTGTTTTGTTATTTTCGTGTTTAGCGCATTTTTGACTTTTTTAGGTATATTTTTTGTAGTTTTATGGCATTTTCACCAATCAATAAAAAATCACGAGTAAATTCTTTTCCCGTTAAATGATATTATATTATATTTATAAATATTCAACAAATCGATAAAACAAAATACTCTCCAAAATTTAAGCAAGTAAGAATGTTATTAGCATTACATTTATAATTTAGTTCAATTTAACCATTCTACTAGGTAAGTAACGTCGTAACATGCCTATTACAACATTTTTGAATTTTGTTTTCTTGATTAAAACCAGTTTTGAAATTCTGACTCAAATCAAAATAGTTATTTGCGTTTTAAATAATTTATGTTTAGGTAATATTGTATTTATTAATTTAAAAACCAATACATTATTTTAGTGAGCGTTTTTAAGTATTTGGGTCATTAAACATTTAAACATCTAATATTTTAATCAGTATTTAGAAAATTTTATTTCTATTTTAATATCATAAATGCATCTTATTTATACGGTTTTTAGGGCATCAACATCCGGGCCCTATAGTAATAGGTATTAACTAGGTATAGGTACTGCCGTACCGGAACAATATGTACAATATGTGTATATTATGTTAATGACGTAAAACTGATCTGCATTTCATTTGATTACCTGTATGGCTGTATTATATAAGGGTTATATAAAAACACTTCATATCATTCCCACCAAAATTACACTTATATGCATGGTATATTGGTATATAAGTGCCAAAGGGCAAAGATATAAAAAAGAAATATATAATATGTATTTTATATATTTCAAAATATTCAAAATCATCATTAATTGAATGATCTATGTAAGTACCTAATATATTATGATTGGAAAAATATTTTCTTTTTTGTTTATTATAAAATGGGTAAAATTCCTGAACTCATAAAATTAATTTTCACTACAGTATAGCTTACCTGCTTACATACGGGAATGCGAATGTGATTGCTTAGGTATTCACAATATAATATAACTATTATAACACAATAACTCTGACGCTTTATGGTAGGTAATAACAAACAATTTATTTGTCGATTAAAATTTAAAATGATAGGTTTTGCGTTTTTAAAAAATTCACATACCTACCTACAAGTAGTTCTAAATTAAAGGAAGTTAAAGCACGCCTAAAAACAATACAATAAGGGCGTAAGTAAAATTATTATTATTATATATTTATATGTAATATGTATAGCCATTACCCTATAGTGGTCTATAGTGGCCTAGTACCTTCGTATAAGTATAACGACGTTATGTTTGAGAGTTGACTTTATTTTATTTTCATTTATGTTGTACCTAAATATAATAGCCATAATAGCACTGATGGCCATGCTGCTACTATATGCGAATTTTTCACCCTCTTCAATATTCAATATTATTATGATAAATGATATCTAATAAATTATTTTTATTTTATTTATAAAATAATTTTTTACCTTGGTATGTTTAGTTAAATTAGGTTACTCCATCCGAATTAGTTTCTATAACTTAGGCAGTTAGGCGTGAATAATTATATAATATATACGTATGTGTATGTGTGTGTGTGTGTGTGTGTGTGTGTGTTAATGATATGTTTAATAATTATCTATGACTACTCTGGCAGAAACGTCTGTGCACGCAATAATAAACATAATGTTAGTTATAATTATAGATAAATATATAACTTAATACCTATATAATATAGCTTAAATATTTTAGGCTTTATTAGTTATTAATAATAATAGTTATTATAGTGTATATTATATAGGTATAGGTCATTACAGGACATAAAATAGTTATAGCCTAATATAGGTATATACCTAGTAACCACTCTATGTTACAATTTTTTTATTACGTATAGGTTGAACGTTTATCCTATAATATAGTAATATTTCATCGATACATTATATACCTAATAATATTATACACTAGGTATAGCATTTAAAATGAAATAACTTTGAAATATTTATACCTACCTATAAAATAAGTAGAATTAAAATGTATGATTACCTAATATATATTATTATAAGGTACCTATCTACTATCTACAAATATTACAATTATTAACATTTGTTTATCTATATATTCCATGTTTTTATTATTATGTACGATAATATAACTATTATTATTTTGTGAATAAATGTGATTATTTGTTAACATAGTAATTAATAGTTTATAGTTAGGTAAATACCACGAACTAAGATATATATATATCTTAGTTCGTAGTAAATACGTATACACATATCTAAGGTCAGACCATAGAGTAATATAGAGTATTACTCTATGGGTCAGACTGTCGGAGTTTATTGAATATTATTTTATTCCATGAATTATATAGATAAATTCCTCTCTCCTTTTCTCTGGAAATCAGTCAAATTATACACACACTTTCTTCATTCTTAAATAGATATAGTCTGTTTTTAATAGATACCCGGGTGCCTGGTATTTTAATGTATAAATATTTAGTATATTGTATAATAAAACTCAGTGGCGTCCGCAGGGGGGAAGGCTAATGGGCTGAAGCCCCCCCCCATTGCCCGTATTATTATTACTTAAAAAAAAATATATTTATCAAATTTCAAAGTTTCAATTGTCAAATATAGTAAGCAAGACGTAAGTTTCATATGCGTCTTACCAGAATGAATTCATTTTTGAAAAAACATTGTATTTGCATACC